GAGCACGCGTGTCTGCACTGGTGGGTGAAAGGAGGGAGAGCTCTGGGGCACACGGTGTTCTTTGCCCTGCCTGCATCCTGCATCCCGCATCCTGCATCCTGCATCCCGCACCCCGGGCAGGGCTCAACCCTCCCTGCTGCAGAGGGACCAGGAGCTCTGCCCTGATTTCAGGATAAATCCCTGAGCAACATCCCTTAATCCCTGCAGGAATATCCCTGCAAACAATATCGTGAAGAGATTGTTTGGCTTGGTTTCTGTTCCCCTTTGCGGCAGGAGGAAGAACAGCAGTGTGAGACTGCAAGAACAGGGGGGGTGAGAGGAGAGAAATGAGGAAGTAAAACGCAACTTGTTTAGAGGAGGGGAAATTAAAAACTCTTTTCCATGGCAGAAATGCCCCGATCCATTACAGGGACAGATGCAGGAGCTCTTGGTGTTCCCTCCCGGGCATCAGGAGCTGGGCGGGATGAGGGAGAGGGAGAGGTCACACAGGTACAATTCACACTTCGCTCCTTGTTTATTTATTCCTGTAACTGAAATACCTGCGAGGGGCGAGGGAGGCAATTGAAAACTGCAGGCGCAAAGGACCGTGAACTCCAGCTGCCTCTCCAAATCCAAACATTTTTATCAGCCTGATAAAAATCAGTTGTTTATCACCCTCCCCGCCACGAGACTGGCCCGTAGCAGCTTTTTTTTCAAGTCCTTCCAAAGAAAGCGCCATCAGCGGTGAAAACTACGCAGCATCCAGCGGGCAAGGGGAGGGGTCGGTCAACCACTTGATTTCTTTCCTGACCTTTCTGAAAGCATCTAATTCCCCGAAAAAATGTTGCAGACAATTTTCTTGGTTTCTCCAGTATCCCACTATTTAAAATTATTTTTGTAAGTGCAAAGTATAGCGATTTTTTTTGTTGTTGTTGTTTTGTTTGTTTTGTTGTTTGTTTGGGGTTTTTTCCCCCTGAAAACCATATAAATTCCCCTTGGTCAGCCCAGATGAATACATTTTTCAGTTGCAAGAAAATGTCATTAATGCATTAATAAGAGTCTGGGCAGCTGCTGACTGACTTTTACAACCACCCTCCAGAGTATGGAGCATTTTGGAACGGCTTTAAACTGGATGAGAGTAGATTTAGATGGGATGTTAGGGAGAAATTCTTTTGTGTGGGTGTGGCGAGGCCCTGGCACAGGGTGCCCAGAGAAGCTGTGGCTGCCCCATCCCTGGAAATGTCCAAGGCCAGGTTGGACAGGGCTTGGAGCAACCTGGAATAGCGGAAAGTGTCTCTGCACATAGCAGGGGGCAGGATTGGATGATCTTGAAAAATCCCTTTAAACCCAAACCCTGCTGTGATTCTGAACTCTGTGCCCACATTCCAGGCTGGTAAACCAAGGCCACGCTGGAAAGCGCTGCAGATGAAGCTGCCCCGACATGAATGGAGCACAATGTGTGGCTGCAGCTACACGGAGATGTACACACAGCTCCCAGCCACCCCCTCCAAATTCTAGCCATGCAAAGAATTCCTGGATGTGTGACTCGGATCCCACCAGGCATCTCCCCCCCTGCACCCCCCGAAAGCAGAGGATGCGTGTTGCACTGAATGTAGGCAAGAACGTGACTGGTCCTTCCCTTCCAAGTTTCCTTTAGAGGGAATCAAATAAATAAATAATTAAAAAAACAAAAAAGACATTAAAAGAGGAGAGTGAATCATGGCTTAGTCAGAGTTGGTGCTGGCATTTTGATGCTGGGAGGGGGGATGTGAGGAAAGGCTGGCTGGTGACCAGTAGGTTCTTCCAAAGGGGATGGAGAATGAAGTCTGGAGCTGTTATTTTGGGATGCATCCAGAGCCTAATGCCACTGTTCAGGATGGGTTGCTAGGTGAGTTAGATGTTGGAGCAGCAGTGGAGCGAAAGAGGGAATTGAGAGGTTTTAGTTTTGGTGTTTCAGAGAAGTTTGAAGACTGTAAACCCCATAAGAGGTGGGTATCCCATTCTCATAGAAATGGGGTTTTCCCCCTTCTCTCCCAGACTTTCCCTTTTTGTACTTCCCTCTCCCACCTCTCTGGACCTGCTGCACTCATCCTTTGGATGCTCAAGGTCAAATTTTTTTCCCATCTACCACCGGGACTTTCACATTTCAAACCCTGGCATTACATTTATACCCCTGTCCCTTCTCATTTATTAAATATCTGCCATTCATTAAATATCTTTTATTAAATATCTGACTGGGGTAGGTATGGCAGCACCTCCAGTCTGCACTGGCTGGTTGATTCCTCCCTCCACCCTCTGTCCCACAGTGAGGAACACTGGCTGTCCCATGTCACCCTGTGCCTTTGCTGGCTCCCAAGGAGCTGACACATCTTCCTGACAGCGTTCAGGCTGCATCAGTGACTTGATTTCCTGAAAAATCGCTGAGCTAAGCACGCCTGTGGGCTTCTTATCACAGCAGCTGCGAGCAATATTTTATTTACCAGTCCAGGTGCTATTTTTAGGAAGCTGGGATTTTGCATAGCACGATTTGGGAGGGGGAAAAATAATCCTCTGAGTGCACCTAGTGCCATCCTGCTCCCTGCCCTCTCCCCGGGGTGCAAGTGCCTTAAAAATAGAAGTGCTTCTTCCAGCTGACCTCCCTCGGAGCAGCTGGGTGCTGGTGCCTTTGAAATCCAGGCCACTTATTTAGGAGTTGAAGCTTTCCGCTCCAGTTATTTAGGAGTTTCTAAGCCAAGAGTTACTAGGTGGATCTAATTTGAAGCGACTGTGATTTTAATTCAGGCAGGGTTTCGCTTTCGGGCTCCTTTTCATGTCGTGGGGGTGGTGATTTGTGAGGTGGGAAAGAGCCACGGAGAGGGGAGAGAGCTGCTGGGGGAAGGGGGATGATGCCCGAATTCCTTGTCCTGTGAAATCATGTGAATTTTTGTCCTCCTTCTGACTCATGCTCTAGCTGGGAACCGACTTTCTGTTGCCCTACATGTGAAAAGGATTTGGGGATTTTGTGCAGAGTGGTCCAGGGAGGGCTGTTGTGCCTGACTCCTATCCCATCCTTGCCAACTGGAGCACTCACAGCTCTCTCCCATCCTCCTTCCCACATCCCAAATCTTTGGTTCTTTTCCAGCTCCCTCATAGTAGCTTTTCTTAAAATTTCTTTTTAATTTTTTTTTTCTTTTTCCCTGTGAATATTTTTTCCCTGTGTAGGAGAGGGAAAGATTGTGCACTTTTTACTTCATCTTGGCTCCATGTAAGGAATTAGCCAGAAATATCTCCCTTCTAAATGAGTTATGAAAATACAAGCCTTTGCTTCCAGAGGAGGAAAATGCCCTAAGTAAAAAAAGATTATTGAACATTTTAGGTATCCAAGATGCTCCTTATCAGGCTTTAAATTCTGAAGCAAAATTTGCTGTATTAAACACCATCAAAGCAGATGCTCCCACCTCTACAGCTCTTCCCACCCGTGACACATTCCCACATTTCCCTGCTGTAGCAAATTCCCAGAATCATTCCAAAGAAACCCCTCCATGCGAGGCGGGATCATCCCCATCAGTGCAGGGGGACGAGGGGGTTTGAGCACCTGCGTGTTTGGGATTTGGGCGTCGTCAGAGGAATTTTCAGGGTGGTCCCAACCCCTCCGTGCTGCAAACAGAAGCTGTGTGGGGGTGTCAGCATTGCTGGGGTGCAGTTTGCAGCCTAATTTAGAGTGGAAACATAACTTGCAGGAACCTGGTGAGTGGATTAAGACGTTTAATAAAGTGATAAAAGAATGCAAATAAAATAATAATAATTATGGTGATGATGATTATGATGATATTGATTGTATATGAACATGAAAATTAAGAACAAATAAATTATCAGTAAAATGAAAAAAAATTAATGAAAACAACAAAATAATTTAATGAAAACATTAAATAATAAATAGCGAAACGAGATAATTACACTAAAATAATATTAAATTTTAAAAATATTGATTAAAAACCAGCATTATGCGCCCGTTTGAGAGCAGGGGCTCCCCGCGGAGCATCCCCGGCACCGCGGCCGCTCCAGCCGCCCCCGAGCCGCTGCCGGCGGAGGGACGCGGGGAGGCTCCGCCGCCTCCCGGCCCCGCCCGGGCGCGGAGCGGGGCGGAGCAGCCGCGGTGGCCGCGGGCGGAGGCGGAGCCGCCGCATCCCGGGCATCCCCTCCGGGGGAGGCGGCTCGGCACCGCATGTGCGACGTGAGCGACGTGCAGGAGCGCAGCGCCGGCATCCCCCGGGCCCCCGGGACCCCGGGACCCCCCGGCCCGAGCCCGCTGACGCGGAGTGAGGGGCGCAAGGGGCGCGCCGGCGGAGCCCCCCCATCCCACCGCTGTTCTACTTAGGGTTCCTTTCTCTCTCTCTTTTTTTTTGTTTTTTCTTATCTATTTTTATTTTTAAAAATTGTTTTTATTTTATTTGTCTCGAGTTAATTTTTTAAATTTTTTTTCCACTTTATTCCCAATATTTTTTTAGTTTATTTCCTTTCCCCCCTCTTATTTTCGCCTCTATTCCCTATTTTATTTCTTAATTAATTTTTAATATTAGTATTTTATTAATTTTTAAAATATTTTTTCTCTGTACATCTTTTACTCATTTTTTATTTTTAAAGTATTTTTAAAAAGTCATTTATTGTCGAGTTCTGATTTTCCTTTTTAAAAAAAATATGAATTAAATTTCCATCATTTTACATCATTTTACATCATTTCCCCTCGTTGACAGAAAAGACGCGAGGAATGAAATAGAACATTTATTTAACCACACATATTTCACTCCGGGGGTCCCCTGCGCACCCCAAACTCCCGCTGTGGGGGAGGGGTCGGTGTCGCCTTCCCCCCGCGGAACAAAGCGCGTCCTTTGTCCGCGCTGCAGTGCGGGGGGCGGCCGGCAGGGGGCAGCAGGGGCCGCGCCGGCATCCCCGCCTTCATCATCCTCCTCATCACCCTCCTCCTTCCCATCCTCCTCCTTCTCCTCCTCCTCCGCGGCTCCGGAGCCCCGGCCCGGCCCGCCCCGCCCCGGAGGCGGTCCCGGCCTGTGCGGATAGAAATAGGCGGCGCGGCAGCTGCCGGCACATCGTGAGCGGAGCCGGCCAGAGCAGCAGCCCGGACTGTAGCACCACTCCTTCCCCGGCTGCCTCGCGTGGAGATTCTCCTGCCTTTCTTCTCTTGTTATATTTTTTTCCAATTTAAAAGGGAAGATAGTTTTTAATTTTTTTTTTTTTTAATATCTGGGGTTTTTTTTTTTTCCACCCCGCTTTCCATCGCGGTTCGCAGCGGGGCTCGCCCTCGCTCCCTCTCAGCGCGCAGCGGCTGCGCTGGGGCCATTCCTGCCCGGCTTTGTGCCCTGCAAACCCGGCCCTCCTCTTCCTCCTCCTCCTCCTCCTCCCCCTCCTGCCGTAAAACCTTCACGAGGCTCGCAGCAGCATCCGAAAGCGCCGCAGCCGCTCGCCCAAACCACCGACTGCAACAAAAACCCTTTTTATTTTATCTTTTTATCGTATATTTCCCCCACCTCCTTCCCCCTCCCCTTTTTTATTTCTCCTCCTCCCTCCCTCAAACGCATCAAGGTGGACGCGGAGCGCAAAAAGACCTTTGTTTTAAAAATGCCCATGGAGCTGACGCAAAGCCGCATCCAGAAGATTTGGCTTCCCAATGACAACCGCCCGGCGCTGCCTCGCCGCTGTGAGTACGGGCACGGCAGCATCCCGGAGGGATGGGGATCGGCATGGAGGGATGGGGTGGGATGGATGGGGAGCTCTCTTTCTCTACGCCCCGCGGCGGGGCTCTTTGCAGCATCCCCGCAGCATCCCTTGTCCCCGGCGTGCCCCTGCATCCCGGCGGTGCCCGCATCCCGGCGCTGCCATCCCGTGACTCAGTCCCGGCAGGGCAGGAAGGTGCAGCCGGCTGTCACATGGCCCCGCAGGATGCGGGGAGGTGCCGGCACACGCGTGGCCCCATTTCCACTCTCCGCTGCCAGCCCTGGGATTAAAAGGGAAGGGAGCGGGTTGTTCGCCTCGCAGCCGGGGTGCCAGCTCAGCTGGGATTTTCACGGTGTCAGGCGGCTGGCCCCGGGATTTATTAATGGCACAAGCATGAATGGTTTGGGTTGGAAGGGACCGTAAAGATAATCTCGTTCCACAACCCTCCTGCCATGTGGCAGGACACCTTCCACTAGACCAGGTTGCTCCAAATCCTGTTCAATTAGTGCGTTAAAAATAGTTTGGTTTTTTTTTTTTTGGGCGGGGGAGGGAGGATTAGGGGGATGTATTTAGGGAAAAAAAAAAAAACCCAACGAGACACCAGCCGTTTGCAGTTTACTGTTTAACCCTGAGGGGATGAGGAGGCAGGTGGAGGGGAAAGCAGAAATTAGTGCTGGAACTTCTGCAGTGGTTTCCCCTTGCCTCTGAAGCTCGGAATAGAAAAATATTTGGGTCGTCCCGGTGTTACTATAAACCAAATCTTGAATCGTGATCCAATCCGAAAGCTCAGAAAGCAGCATCTTTAAGTCACCCACCAGCTACGCTGACAGCCTGCCCGTTGTGCGACTCCCAACTCTAAATGAGCCTCCCAGGAATGTGCGGAGCCGGGATGGAGGGGGTGGCACTCGCAGCCTGGCGAGGGGTGGAAGTGGCTCGGGTGAATCAGTCTTTCCGATGCTTGCCTTCATCGGGCGTTTAAAGTCGCTTCCGATGTTTATTTACCTTGGCTGGAAAGTTTCCCCTGGTAGATAATAATAATATTTTAAAAAATAGGTATTCTATGAACTTGCCAGATGCTGTTGCCCGTGGCTGTGGGTCAGGCACCCTGGAGCAGATGTTGGGATGTGCAGCCTGTGCCTGGCAAGGGCAGCCCTGCAGCGGGAGCTGCCGAGGAAATGGATTTCAGCAACAGGCTGCACATCTGGGTAGCCAAGGGGCTTTGCTTACAGTGGTGTAAAACGTCTCCCGGCTTAATGCTTTGCACGTGTGTCTCTGTGGCTGGGTTTTCCTCAAGGACTGGCTCCTCTGAAAGAAATCCCCTGTGCATGCAGTGGTTTTTTGCCACTTCGTTCGCCTGGCTTCTCAGAGAGCTCCTTTTTGGTAGAGGAAAAAACAAACATATTTGATATATTAAGGCACCGAGGGGCTTATTAATAACATAACGTGGCTTGTAATTACATTTTCTTGGGGTGGGAGCAAGCCACGCTGTGCAATGTGAGAAGGGGGGTTTTAGGCTTTTTTTAGCTAACTCTTTTTTAACTCGAGGTATTTTAAACGCGAGGCGCTATTAATTCCTCAGCGGCAACAAAAGGCGAGGGCTGCAAAGCTGGGTGGGAAGGGAGGGAGGGATAACGGGGACCACTTCCAGCGTGATGCCTGGAGGGAGCGGGCGCATCCCTGCGAGCATCCTCTGCAAGGACGCTGCCCGGGTGCGAAATAACCAGTCCGATTGTGTGACCGCTGGTCCAGGCGAGGCTGCAGGGATCCCTTCAGCTGCCCTTTTGACGGCGATCCATTAAATTGCTGTCACGCCGCACGTCTCTCACGTAGGGGCTGGGAAAGTCGAGCCGTCGAAGGCGCTGGCTGGGCAGAGCCGGGCGAGGGGAGGGGGATGCTCGGGCAGGGAAGGGGCTGTCGTTGCCTCTCTCCGGCCTGTCGCTGCTTTTTCCCGTCCCTCCGGCTCGGTGGGTGCGGAGCACGGGTCGGGGATGTGCGCGTTCCGCCGCGGCTCGCAGCACTGGCGGTCACAGCGTCAGTGGAGGCGCTGGAATTGCAGCGGGAAGGAGCTGGGAAAAGGGGAATAGGACTAACAGAACGTGCTGTCTGGGCTCGTGGGAGGGTTTGGGGAATACTTAGGAGGAGACAGTGAAACTGCCTGAAGTGGGGAGGTGGCTGTTTTATCCGACTTCTTATAGAAGCAAATTTCCTTCCCTTTTGGGCTGGGTGTTTTTTTGGTCGTTCTTTCTTTTTTCTTCTCTTTATTTTACCCACTGGTGAAACTGACTTTCTGGCAAATAGCAAAAGTGATAAGCTCCTCTTAAATACCCTCTGACTGAGCCTGAAAGTCATCCCTGCCCTTGACTTACCTGGCTAGATGTCGATAAGGAGTAATGAATATGTATTGAAATCCCTGATAGCTTCCCAGCAGTGGTGAAAAGAAAGGATGAATGAGGGCTTTGTGGAAGACTGGGAGCAAAACACTGGGTTCTGTTTCATCCCTGATGCAAAGTTTCCCGGAGACTTTTGGTCTGGGCTCAGATTCCTGATGAAAAGTTGCTCACTGATGCCATGGGTGTTTTGGGAGGTGCTTCTCGGGTTCTGTTCCATTGTGCAAGGGCAGCAAAAATCCTGAATTAGGGGTATTTAACTCTTGCAGCAGCCTTTGGAGGTGACACGTGTGTGCCTACACAGTGCCAGCCCTGGAGCTGTCACAGCTGTCTGGAGCCACAGGGACATGAACAGTACCCAGCATTGTCCCTTCACTCTTGGAGTGCTATTTAATGGCCCCAAATCCCCTTGGCTCTGCTCTTTGAGATACTTTGTCCACTGGCAGGTAGGGAAAGGAAGAGTTTCCTTATTCAGGTGTTATTCTTTCCTCCTCCCTTTATCTAATAAGTGTGTGGGTTTTGTATGAAAGAGACTTGCACCCATAGCTTGGATAAGGATGTGAGATTGTTGGGCAGGGGGAAGCATATTTCTTGGTATGTTGCACAGCTCCCTTGTGCCCCAGCACAGAAAATTGGCACTTGCTGCCAAAATCTCTGGGAGCTGCCCTGGGGTTTTGAAATTCAGCACTGGGCAGGTGGCACAGAGGGAGTGAGTGAGGGCAGCTCCAGCCTCAGGAATGAAACAAAAAAAAGAAAAGCTGCTACATTTTAGGTAGTTTTTAATCTCTTGCCTGCTGAGTTTGCTTTGGTGAGAAACTTAGGAAGATAATGGGTGGCTCTTCTCTGCCATCTGGGTACCAGTGCCATAAATCTTCCTTGTGGTCTTAATTTGGTTTCTCCAGTTGCTGGATTTATTTATTTTCTCAGATGGGGAAGGTGCTTTACATGTTCTGTGGGTACCTCTCAGTTTGTACTTTCCTGATCCAGGCTGACAAAAACCTTCCCCCAGCCCTGTGTCCATCCTAGGGAGCCCCTGGCATCTCCTGGTCCCACCTCCAGGCAGCTGTGACAGGCAGGCAGAGCTCTCCACCCAGGCCGTAATTAAGCTGGGTTTTATGGCTCTGCCACCAGCCACTCACTCCCTGCATTCCTTTCCTATGAGGTCTCTGTGCTCACCGGGTGGATGGAGGAGTGGGTGAGAAATCCCCTGCAGGGTCCCATCTGTCCTGCAAATGCTGCCTCTGGGTTTCCTTTCCAGCTGTTTGACATGGACCCTCTTCACCACAACAAACAAACAAACAAAAAAAAAAAAGCCAAACCCAACAGCCCAGTTTGTGTTTGTGAGGAAAAAAGGGATAAATCACTTGGATACCTGCTTTTAAATGCTGCTAGTTCTGTGGTTCTCTTGCCTTGTTTATATTCAGAAAATCTGGTTAGCTGGTTGTGTGGCAGCTAGAAATTTAGTCAAAGATTTTGGGAGATGCTCTCTGTGAGTGAAAATCTGGACCAGACCTGGTATTTCAGCACAGACACTGCTGCAGGGACTGGTCCAAAGTCCTTGGCTATCCTTGAGCTTTTCATGGAATTGCCAAGCCATTGGAATGTGAAGTTGTGCTTGCCTTGATGTTAATTTTTTTTTAAATTATTTTTTTATTTTGGTTGCAAATGAGGAAACTGAGGCACAGAGAGAGCCTGGGCCAGCTGCTGGCTCCTTGCCTACTTTGCACCCATCAGGATGTTCGTGCTGTGGCTTTCATGTTTCCTCCAGCTGCTGAAGGACTTGGAAGGAGTCCAGATAAAAACAAGTGCCTTGTTGGGTCAATGCAGGACGAGCTGGAGAATTAACAGCTCCTGTTCTTTTTCCTTGCAGCCTGTGGGCCTCAGCTTGCCAATTCCCCCACTGTGATAGTCATGGTTGGCCTCCCAGCCCGTGGCAAGACCTACATCTCCAAGAAGCTGACTCGCTACCTCAACTGGATCGGTGTCCCCACAAAAGGTAAGGTTTGCACTGGCTGCCAGGGGAAAGCAGGAGGTCTGATCCTCAGGAATTCCTCTAGATCCGTGCTTTGGGAGATGGGGAGGTAGTGGGGAATGTTTCCAAGATCCCACAGGCCAAATATAAATGTCTGTGTTTTCATATCCTGCAGCAGCCCAGGTTCTCCTTCACTTTGAAGACAAGGGATGTGCCCTGAGGATGTAATTGTGTGGCCCCAGCTTGCTTTAACTGCAGAAGGTACACAACTGAGTCATGTACCTCATTTTGATGGCTTGTTTTTCCCTTTTCCCCCCTAGTTTTCAATGTTGGGGAGTATCGCCGCGAGGCCGTGAAGCATTACAGCTCCTACGACTTCTTCCGTCCTGACAACGAGGAAGCCATGAAAGTCAGGAGGTGAGTGTGGGCACCCTGACCCCACATGGTGGTGAAGCCTTTGGCTGGGAGCAGAGTTACCCAGTTTGGGGGTGATGAACAGAGAAGCTGGGCTCTGAATTTCCCCTGCCTGCTCAAGGAGGATTCTGAGAGCTCAGAACTGAATCTGTACAGGATTGGTGACTTCAGGGTGACCACCACGCCCAGAGGACACCAGGGCCACACGTCTGTCCCCTCTTTTGCAGGCAATGTGCCATGGCTGCCCTGAGGGATGTGAAGCTGTACCTGACGGAGGAGGCCGGGCAGATTGCGGTGAGCTCCCAGATGTGCTCTGGGGTTTGGCAGCTGTGCTGACCCCAAAGGTCCTCTGCAGCCCCTTCTCTGAGGAGGGGCTCTCTGGGAAACCAGGCCCTTGTGGTGCTAATTGAGATCTTTTGCTTTTAAAGGTTTTTGATGCCACCAATACCACGCGGGAGAGGAGAGGGATGATCCTAAACTTTGCCAAAGAGAACGGGTTCAAGGTCAGTGCCATGAGGCTGATGCCTGCATTGTGAAGCCCACTGTAGTGTAGACTTGGTGTATCTTCTTTCACTCATGTGTTATCCTCATGATATGTTATCCTCCCTCCTGTGTGAGGGAGATTTCACCACTGGCTTTGATTAAAAACATGAAACTCTTCCTTCATTCACTGTACCGAGCCATGGGGAAGGAAAGGATGGGAGTGGGGCAGAGGGAGAGAGCTCTCTGGTCAAGCAGGGAGGAGGCTGGGTTGGGCAAGGAGCTGGCTGAATGTTACAAACCTCGTTGGTGGCTTTCAGCTGAGCTTTGCTTTGCTTCACAGGTGTTCTTCATTGAATCTGTCTGCAATGATCCCAACGTAGTTGCCACCAATGTTATGGTAAGTGTGGAACTGGTGGAAGTGTCTTGCTTTTGCTTTCCCTCCATAGAGAGGTAGGAATGGCATCACCTTCACAAGCCCTGGTCTTCAAGATGGGCTTCAACCACCCTGGTATCTGCTGGAGGGACAGCACAGCCAGTCTAAGAGGTTCCTGGAATGTGTTGGTGACTTCTTTCTCCAAGTGACAGCACCTCTCCTTGTTTTCTCTGTGTTGCACCTTCTTGTCACCAACAAGGAGGGGCTGGTGAGGAATGTGAAGCTTCAGGGCAGCCTGTGCTGCAGTAGCTGTGAAGTGAGATGTCAGGAGAGCAGATTTTGGCCTGGAGCACTGTGGGATAAAAAACCCAGGAGAGAAGAGGGGCCCAAGAAAACTGGTTCGTGTTCAAGGATAGTCTTCTCCAAGTTCAGCTGTGATGAATTCCCAGCAAAGGAGCAGCCATCAAAAATGCCAGGATGAACAAGGAGCTCCTGGACAAACTCAAAGCACTGAAAGGAAGCCTACAGAGAGAGGATGGAGGCAAGGACAGGCAGCCTGGGACGAATGCAGAGATTGTCTGAGCAGCCAGGAATTGTGTTGGGAAAAACAAAACCCTGACAGAACTGGGGGACTACAGGTGCAGTCTCACATCAGTGTTTGGGAAGATAATGGAGCAGATTATCCTGGAAAGTCTGCTGAGGCACATGGAAGATAAAAAGGTGGTTGGTGACAGCCAACAGGGCTTCACTGGAGGCAAATTGTGCTGCCAGCCAGGGGCTGAAGAGTGTCTTTTGCTCCTCCTGGGAGCTGTTACTCCAGTGACCAACTTTTTGGGAGGTTGCATACAGCCTTTTCTACAACAAAAATGCTCAGCTTGCTACTTTTTTTTTTTCCCCTCAAGCTGGATTTTTTTTTTTTTTTGAGGATTTTAATCCCTTTATTTGGAAACTAATGCTTGAAGGGTGAGAAAATCAGCTCCTAGCTGAGCATGGGATTTTGCTTCTCAGGGACCTACAGATGAATGATGCTCTTAGTGCTGGGATCAGTGTGGAAAATGCACCCCAGGCCTGGGATGCTGCCACATGTATTGATCCACTGTGTTATCCTGTTGGTTTCAGGAGTGCTTGTGAAGCCAATGTGTAATGCTGCTGTTCAAACCCAAATCTTTAGGAAGAACAGCCTGTTAGATTAGTTCAGGCAGGACTTAGTCTGTGAGGGTTGTGGATATTCACACTGCCTGTTTCTAGCGTCTTTCAGTCCAACAGCTTGCAGCAAATAATGCACAGAAAGGGGTTGAACGTTGCCATCCTACTGTCCTGCCGCTGAGCTGGGATAAGCATCTTGTCCAAGTTCATGCACTTCCCTCTCTCAGCTTGAATTTGAACCTGATGGGGTTTTTTTAGCCATTAGGAAGCTCCATTTTCCTGCTGTTGGGTGGTGAAGTGCTAGCCCAGCTTCTGGGAGAGTGGGAGTGGACTGTCTGTACTAATCAGGCAATGGTTGATACCAAATTCTCCCACCTGATGCTTGGTTTTGGGTCTTATTGGCTTCTTTTCTGCCCTGTGGTGAGTGATGACAATAAAGTACTCATCACTTCCTTTCAGCTAATCACTGGATCTTGGCAGGACTTTGAAATTCCAGATTAGCATTGTCTGGCTTGGAAAGCTTCCTAACCTCTCCTTGTGGCATGTTTGTTTTTTTTTTTTCTCTTGCAGGAAGTCAAATTGTCCAGCCCAGATTACCGGGACTGTAATTCCACTGATGCCATGGAGGATTTCATGAAGAGGATCAATTGTTACCAGGCCAGCTACCAGCCCCTCGACCCTGATGACTATGACAGGTAAAAGACCTTGACTTCTGAGCTGCCTTGAGCACCTGCCCTCTCCCCAGAGAAGAGCAGTGAAGGGTGGAGCTGTATTTCACTTTGTCTTCAAATGCCTGACTGTGCTGGAATGATTTATGGCCAGGCCTCACCTTGAATTTAGGCCTTTCATAGGAAAAGCTGGTTTCCCCAGGCCCTATGCCAGGGAAATGGGCACTGATGCCTTCCCAGGCTCTTCTGGGCTCAGATGAGCTGTTTTCAATCTTGTTCTGCAGGTCTAAATACAAAGGCTTTGGGAAAGCACTTGAGTTGGAGTGGTTGATGTGCTTTTTTTCATTGTCCCAGTTAAAGGAAGGGACTGCTTGGCTCAAACAACAGGATTGAGCAAGCCCTGTGGCTTCTGCCTTGGTGGCTGTGTGCCTTGGAAGAGCTTTGCTGTCCTGCCTGACTCTGCAGGCACCCTCCCAACCTCTCCACTGCTCACAAACACTTGTGTGTGCCCTGTGTGGATTGTCCCAGTCCTGCTGATCCCCGTCCTGGGGAGGAGCATGTTCCCTGCTAGTCCTGTTTAATCCTCTTTACTGCTGCAAGGGGAGGGGTGGTGATCACACTGATGCTATTCAGCTCTCCATGAATCCCCAGTACCTGTTGGCTCCCCGCTGAAAATAGCCTGCAGGAAATCCTTTGAGCTGGGTGATTACTTGGACAGGGATAACTCAAAGGGCTGCTTTGGAGAATGACGTCTTTCTCTGTCCCCAGGGAACTTTCTCTCATCAAAGTCATCGATGTCGGCCGGCGGTTCCTGGTCAACAGGGTTCAGGACCACATCCAGAGCAGGATTGTGTATTACCTGATGAACATCCACGTCCAGCCCCGCACCATTTACCTCTGCCGGCACGGGGAGAGCGAGTTCAACCTCAAGGGGAGGATTGGAGGCGACTCTGGCCTCTCCAACAGGGGCAAGAAGGTGAGGGAGAAGGAAAATGTCCCCCTGTGGCTGTAGTAGATGCTGTGCCTTGGGCTAAATGTGTGAGGAATGGTTACTCACTTTTCACAGTTTATAAAGGTTAATAAACCTTATCAAAAATACAATAGAAGACTGAATAGAGAAAAAGGTTATGGCACCAGGAGCAAAGGATTTTTCCCTGCCATCTGCTCTCTCCCCCTCACAATGGAGATTTTCCCTTTTTAACCCTCTAACCCCTCCCAAAGTTCTGTCCATCAACCCTTTCTTTGCTGTCCAGTGGTAGAGATCTCTTCCTCAAATTCTGCCTGGAGGTCAGATGTCACCATAGTGACAAGCCAGCCCTCCTAGATGTCCCTTGATAACCACGTAAGGGGGTAAAACAACTATAAATCTATAACACTTTTCTTAACCTCTATACACGATATTTGTCTGTTAATTGTGAGAGTCAATCATTGCATTACTCATCTATCACAAATGCATGTTTGATGATAGCTGGGCTGCTGAGGGTCCATCTGTAGCTTTTGGGGATCAGTGAATGGGCTGCCCTTCCCATCAGGGTAGGAGGCACATCTTTCTGCCTGTGGAAGGTGACACTTACTGGGAAGTAGGGAAGAAGGCCAACTGGGAAGCTGTGGACCAGGAATCAACTTCTTTTTTCTATGTCCCACAGTTTGCAGTGGCACTGAACAAATTCGTGGAAGAGCAGAACCTGAAGGACCTCAAAATTTGGACCAGCCAGCTAAAGAGGACAATCCAAACAGCAGAAGCTCTCCAGCTGCCCTATGAGCAGTGGAAGGCACTCAATGAAATCGATGCTGTGAGTATCTGTGCAGCCACAACAGCTGGATGGGCCTGGCTGTTACTTGACAAGAGAAAGTGAGGTTTTGCCTGGTGGCTGTGCTGATGCTGTTTGACTTGAGCATGTCCAGTAACTTCGTGCTTGTCCTGCCCTGGCAGGGTGTGTGTGAAGAAATGACCTATGAAGAAATCAGGGAGCAACATCCAGAGGAATTTGCTCTGCGTGACCAGGATAAATATTACTACCGTTATCCTTCTGGGGAGGTAGGTCTGCAGAGACACCTCCTGCAAAGTCTGCAGGACTTTTACTTTAAATGTGGCCTTTTTTCCCCTCATTCTGTCTTCTACTCTTGAGCAGAGGAGCAGTGGGAGCTCCAAGAAACTAGAATTAAGAGAGCAGGGCTCGTGTTTACCTCTACCTTGAGCTCTTGTGAAATCTTGGCATATGAAGATCTCACTAAGAAATATGTCATTTAACAAACAGTCCCACTGAATTTATAGCAAATTAGCATGGAAAGGTCTCTGGATGTTTCTAGTCCAACCTCCATCTTAATATCTGCTCACGGTTTAGTGCTGCCCTAATTTTCTTTCATTTCCAAAAAAAGCAAATTTCACCTTGTTCTCAGTATCATTCCCAAAGGGTTGATGGTAATATCTCTGTTCCTGGCAGTCTGCTTTCAGGGTGTGATACAATGAGGTGGGAATTGACATCAGTTCTGGATGATACTTAAGGCTGTGAATTGAGCTAATTATCCCCAAATTGAAAGTCATGCCCATAGACATTTCAGGAAAATCTTTGGAGACATCCTCGTGACCCTGTATCTAATAGAAGAATATGTGGGGATATCAGACACAAACTCTGGGTGTCTGGGGCTCCTTCTGACTGCCTGTCATGGTTTTTATGAGGCCATTCAAAACCCTGGGGTTTCTCAGTTTGCTCCAGACTTCTCAGAACTTTGAAATCCTGTACCAAATCAAATATCAATGTGATGGAGAGGCTCTATCTTCAAAGCCCTTGTTGCTTACCTTAATTAATTCTCCAGGTCTGAGCTGTGATTCACTGAGATGTGAATGGCTCCTTCTCTGACAGAGGAATTAGGAGTTCCAGAGTAGCCTGGGGATGAGGATTTATTTGTTTTAGCAGTTTGTTGGTTTACTGAGAGGCATGAAATCAGGAGGTGTACCAAGACAAGGACTGTTTTTTCGGGCAGCTCGTTGCACTGATTCCATGCCTCATCTCCCTTCCCTTCTCTCCCAGTCCTACCAAGACCTGGTGCAGCGCCTGGAGCCAGTCATCATGGAGCTGGAGAGGCAAGAGAACGTCCTTGTCATCTGCCACCAGGCTGTCATGCGCTGTCTCCTGGCCTACTTCCTGGACAAGAGTGCAGGTGAGCTCCCTGGCTCTGGGAAGAGGATTGGCCCTGCTGGAGGAGGGATGATGGGTACAGCTCTGGGGTGTTCCCACCCTGGAGTGTGCACCTCTTTGGTGTGGGATGAAGGTGTCTGAGCCTGCCTGTGGAGAAGGAGGTGGGATAACCCTCCTGCTTTGCTGTCTCTGCAGATGAAATGCCCTACCTAAAATGTCCCCTGCACACAGTGTTGAAGCTGACCCCGGTGGCCTATGGTGAGTGAGACCTTCCTAAACATGCCAGGGGGGTTGGCTTGTGCCTCCTCCTGAATCCAGGCTGTCAGGGAGAAAAGCAGGGATCTGTGGTGGGGCGCTTGGGAACATCCTGTGCCTGCTGGGCTTGCTGATCTGTCTCTTTGTGCTCCTTCCTGCAGGCTGCCGGGTAGAATCCATCTCACTGAACATTGAAGCAGTCAACACCCACAGAGACCGGCCAGAGGTGAGTGTTGCTTTTCCTGGAGCTGTCCTTTGGTGTCCCCCTCCTGTCCCCTGTGGTCACCTGGCAGTGGGAACTGCCAAATCATGCCTGGGGTGGGCATGGGGAGATGGCACAGCTGGATGCTTGAAAGTGCTGCTGGAAGACTGGGAGCATCAGATGTGTTCTTGCTCTGCAAAGTCATGGCCAGTTGAGGGTTTTCCAAGGGAAAAGGACTGTTGCATGTTCCTGCTTCCCAGTATGTTTGCCCAGGGAAAACTCCTCCCTGGTCTCTGACTTTCACCTGCACGGTCATGTGCTCACCTGAGCAGGGAGTGGAGCTGTGGATGGAGAAGGTGACTTCTCCCAGGTCTCCCAGTTGGCTGGCAGAGCCTGGGCTCCATGCTTGGCCCTCCATCTGCCTCTGAGGATCTTTTTCCTGGGATGCCTGTAGCTGTCTGTCATTCTGGAGGGTGGGAGGCGGCAGTGCTGGGCTGGGGATGCTCTGTGGAGGAGACCCAACCCTACAGGAATCTGTCTGCCAAGAGCTCCACTGGAGCTCAGAGGCCAGAACAGGAGGATGCCAGCTCGGTGTCAGGGCTGGGCAGCCACCCACAGTGAGCCACAGGGACCCTGGCAGCACCCATGTCCCAGGGTGCTGGGACATTTCCAACTTGTGCTTAGTGGTGGAGCCCAAAGTGATGCTGAACAGTTGGGGCTGTCCCATTTTGGCCCACATCTCATTTCCTTTGTTTCCCCTGCCAGGTGGCAGCAGCTGAGCTGCCTGTCCCTCCCTGCAGCTGTAGGGGGAAGCCAGTCCTTCCCCTGCACGGGGCCACTGATGCCCTGCTCTGCCACCCTCTCTGGGGATGGCAGCAAGGCCTTGGCTAGGACAGGCTGAGACTTGGGTGCCCCTGCTCAGCTTTGCCTCCATCCCTCCTCGCTTCAGTTGGAGCTTGGCGTGGTGCTGACCCTCGCTGGCTGCTCTGCTCCCATGTCCCAAATCTTCCTGATCAGCCTGGGCTGGCTCATCTTCCCTCTTCTTGCTCCTCTCTCTGGGTGGAGGGACCAGCTTCGAGGAGGAGACTGATGGGCACCTCTGTGTCCTGCAGAGTCATGGCTTGATTGCTGCTGGGTGTGTTCAGCTACCTGTATTTACTTTTTTTTTTTTTTTTTGTCAGCTGAGACTCAGATGAGGAGAAAATCTGTCTCATGTCTGAGGGCAGAGCCATTTTTTTTCCTTCCTTCCCCTTCTGTGCTCTTAAGCATTTTGCATCAGGGTTTTTTGGTTGTTTTTGTTTGGTTTTTTTTTTTTTTTTTGTGCCCAGAGGCGTTCAATGCATCCTTTGCTCATGGACAGTGGGGAAAAGCAGAGGCCACTTTAAGACAAAAAAAGGAAACCAAAGCGTTTGGCTTCTTTTTTTTTTTTTTTTTTTTTTTTTTCCTTTATAACTGTCGCCTTCTTCCTTTTTCTTTATTTGGCTTTATTTTTTTTATATTTACTTTTATTTTCTTTGTCTCACTTTAATTTAGGAAGCAAAGAAGGGACCTAACCCGCTCATGAGACGTAATAGCGTTACCCCTCTAGCAAGCCCAGAGCCCACCAAAAAACCTCGCATCAACAGCTTTGAGGAGCATGTGGCTGTTTCTTCTGCCCTGCCAGGCTGTGTTCCTCAGGAAGTGCCCACGCAGATGCCGGGACAAGTTAGTTGAACTCTTCTTTTTTTTTTTTTTTTTTTTTTCCTTTTTTTTTTTTTTTTTTTTTTTTTTTTTCTTTTTTTTTTTTTTGTCGTTGTTCTTGTTGTTTTATTGTTTGTTGTCCTCCTGTCACTCCTGAAGCTGAGGAGCTGCTTGCACTTGTCGTAACCTGTGCTGCTGTCTGAGATGCATCTTCCTCCCACGGCTGCTGTCCCTCCCTGCCTTGGGTCACTGTTGATCCTCTCTTGGGTTTTGAGAGCTTCATCAACTTCCACCAAGCTCTAGGCTGCATTAATTTAGTGCCTTCACCATCCAGCATCAACCTCCTGATGGGGGTCTCCTCCCTGGAGTGAGCAGGAACAAAGGGCTCATGCTTTCCCTCTGGGTGCTCTTGGCTCTGTTGTAGACCTGGGCATGGTAGTGAATCAAATGCTCTTGTGCTTCTCTGAAGGAGGAGCTGCTGCCAAGACTCCTCTTTGGCTGGAAGGGTCTCCTTTGTCCTGGAGCTGTAGGCAAAATGGACCAAAATTGAGCAGAAGGCTCTTGGTGTGGTGAACCTGGGTGAATCCCTGTGAGTAGCTGCCATGGTGATCATGTGCCCTCTCCTCTGTCACCCACCCATGAAGGGATGTAGGACGAGAGGCCTTGCTTGCTGCTCACTTTCCCAGGCACAAACACTTCTCCTAAGCTCACTAAGGAGTCCTATATTAATCCATAGGAGCCTTTGCCATGCTGCCCTTCCCACCAGCTGCCTATTGGATCTCGCTGTCTTGCCCAGCCCCTCTCCCTGCTGTCTGTGTTGGTGTGATGTCCCCCTCCTTGCCCAGATCCCAGGCAGATTAGGAATGGCTCCATGCTCCACCACTGCTCAGCTTGGTTGCTGCTTTGCATGAGCCTCCCAGGACAGCTGGGTCTGTGTCAGCTCCCAGGGCTCTGCTTGGGCTGGCTGAGCCTCACACAAAACCTTTTGCCAGCTCTGGCTGCCCAGTCCCCTTGCTGCTGTCCACTGTCCTCTGCCCGGTGTGGCACGGAGTTACTGACACCTCTCTCTGTTCTCTCTGTCTCTCTGCAGCCTTTACTAGGGAAGGCATGCCTGTAAGTACCTTCTTGCCTCTTATTCTCCCTTCCAATCCTTTTTTCTATGTCTCTTGCCATCCCATCCCGCTGGGTTGTTCTGTTGTTGTGGATTTCTTGGAGTGAATATTTTGCTGGTTTGGGGGGCATTTGTTTTAGGAAAGATAAAGAGGAGACTGTGGGTGCTGGTTTGTATCCTAGCTGGATGGAATGTCCCAATTTTGTTGTGACATTAAGCAAATTATGACTTTCACTCTGATGATGATGCCTGTAGGCAATGCTGTTGGGGTTTCCTGGAGTTGTCCCCTCTGTGATAGCATGTTGTGCTGTAGGTGAGAGACCTGGGTGCTCTTTCCTTCCTGAGGGCTCCGAGTTGTGTCTGTGAGTGATGGCACCAGAGAGGTACCTGAGAAGCTTCTGACCTTCTCAGGCATGTGTTTTCTGGAGCTGGATGATCCTGGGGCCAGCCATCTGCGGTTCTGCAAACTTGGATTTTGGAAACAGTCAGCCTAGGTGTTGTGGGCAGAGTGAATGGAAATTGTCCTTCTCTAGCTTTCTAAGAAAGCAAAGCATCTTGAGCATTTGATGCACTAATTATGAACAGTCAAGGCTCTGGCAGTTTTGGCTTGGGGCTGTTATATCCCCAGGTAACAGGAACAGGATAGCTCCTGGATAAATTTGAAGCCTTTGGACTTAATTAATACTACGTAGAGTTGAGAGCAGCCATTATGTGCTCAGAGGCCTTCTCAAAGACTGGGAAGACTTTGGGGCAGAGCTGATACTGGGTAGTGTCCAGGGAGTGTTTTGCTTCCTGAGGGTCAATTGAAATCAACCTGTGAGCATTCCTGGCTTGCGTTGTTCTGTGGGCTGAGGATGGAGGGATCTGCTCTACCATGGCCAGGCCAGAGCTCAGCCCTGCTTGCCTGTAGTAGCTGTTGAATCTCATATTTCTTCCCCTTTTAGAGTAAACGTTTTTGAGAAAAGGGAAGTTAGGACTGTTGCACTTGGCTTTGCTGGTGGATGGGTTAGGTGAGATCGCTGAGTGTAGAGGCTGAGTTGCTCAGCATGGCCTGCATGCCTGTGATCCTCCCCCTGCTGCTCATGGCCACGAAAGCCCCTGATGAAACCTGATCCTCTTGGGCTGCTCTGAAAGCATTTTAGTTTTTGTCCATCCTTCCCTCCACTCTTTTCACACCTGTATTGTTACAAAAGGCACTGCATGCCTTGTTGCTGGCTGGGACACTGGAAACACACTCGGTGTTGAGTTTGGGAGATGGATGGACATGTCAGATTTTGCTGGAGCAGGCAGTGGTGGTTACCCATGCCAGGAGTAGGCTGGTAGCAGCAAGATTAAAATCTCCAGCTGCTTTAAGTGGGACTTAAAGTCTGCCTTTGTGGGACCCATGAGGACATGCCAAACCCAAGGCTTGGTGGCATTCACCCTGCTGTTAGCTCTGGGAGGCTGCTGTCTTGCACACTAGTTTGCTCCTTCACTGTCACCACCAGTAAGGGGCTGGGGATGTGGAAGGTGCCTCTGTCACAACTGGCATCATGGGCCGGGGTTGGTAGTGGAAGCTTCTCTCTCACTGTTGGGGTCTTGACCCCCATCCAGGGGACACCTGGGTGGGCTGGGGACGTGGCTGAGTACCTCAGAGTCCTCCTGGCTGTGGGATGGAGCTGACTGGGGGTTGTGGGACTCCCTGGCATGATGATTTCTTTTCCTTTTGCTTGCTTTGTGATCCAAAGTGCACTTTTGAACAGTCACCTGATTTCCCCCCTCCCTTCTTCTTCCCTTCACTTTTCATGCTTAAAAAGAAGACCCGTTTGTCACTTTCTCAAAGTTTTCTCTTTGCTAATATTTCCAAGGTAAATGGCTGTGGTGCATGTGGCTTTTCCTGACCCTCCTCCTGTCTCCTTAGACAACAGAGAGAACAGCTCAGCCTGCTCTGCCTTGTAGCATGGCTGGGATTCATGGTGCTTGTAAGAAGCAGCTTAGGTAGTAAAAACATTAAAAAACCCAAGAAAACCAACCAACAAGCAAACAAAAACAAACAAAAACTGCCAAAAACCAAACAAAAAAATCCTTCCTAGCTGTTTCCTAGTCCTTTTTCCCCCTCCCTTGTTTCATGTAGTTCTGTGAGTTGGGCAATGTCCTTGTGGTCCCCTGGGCTTTTCCTGGAGCAGAACTCTCCTGGGGGCTGGTGCTGCTTGTGTGTAGCTGGTTGTCTCTGGTTTTGTGGTCCTCACCATGTGCTGGTGGGTACCTGTTGTCATCATTCTGTACCAGGGCTGTGTCTGGAGCATCTCTTGGGCCCATGAGACCTCATGGGGTGTCACCAGGGGAGTTGTGCTGCTGCTCTAGCACTGGTGGTGGGTGGGCACGGTCAGCAGGAGCTGCCTGTTCTTGGCATTGCCAAGGGTGGGCAAACAATGACCTTGTCCTTGGCAGGCAGGGGGGACACTGCCCACCCTCAAGGGGAGCAAGAGAGGTATTTAATTGGGCTGCTTGAATGTGGTCCCCTGTCACCTTGTCTTGACCAAAGAGCAGCTTCAGAAGTGCAGACAGGGTGGAGTGGGAGGGTGTGGAGATTCTCAGTTCAGTCCAAGAAAGAACTGAGATAATTTCTGCCAGGCTGAGCCTGGGAAACTTAGAGAAAATAATTAAAAGTTATTATCTCTCCTCCTGTAACCGTTGTTTATGGATATGCTTCTCCAGAGTGTGTTATTCATAGTTCACCAATAGTGTGAGAGGTTTTTACTTTGAGACCGATCAAGTCTCACCTTAGCAAGTCACACTATAAAAGACCCTGTATCTTCATTAAATTGCCTTCTGAAGAATGGAGTCTTCATTCTGTCCCTGACTCCACAGCACCAGGAGGGGTTCAGCTCAGTTTTTAGGGATATCTAAATTCTAACCCTGTAATTAAAGCCAGGCAATGCTTGAGGAGTGAGTCAGTCACTGCCTCTCCCCTCGGGTGGGCAGTGTCCTCTCCTCTCTGGTGGGTGCTTTGTGGTGACCCGTGCGTGGCTTTGTCCCCTTGTTCACGTGCTCCTAGAAGGTGCTGCTGGGCCGGAACCTGACCCCAACACCTCTCCTCCCCCTCTCCTTCCAGAACATGAACAACTCCCAGAAGCCGTCGTGACTCCGTGGGCACCGTTGTGAGGCCGCCGGCGCCGCCAGCTTCTCATCCCATCGCCATTCCCGAAGCTTGCTGCCAACCCGGGCGGGGCTGGCTCCGCTCCCGCTGCCCGCTCACCCGCCAAACCCCGCGCTGCTGAGCGGGGAGGGATGCAGGAGAGCCGAGGAGGAGCCCAGCTCCCTCCCGGGGTCACCACCAGCGCTCCAGGCTGCAGCGTTTGCTCTCCTCTCCAGCATCCTGTTAGGTCGTAGCGAGCTGTAAAGTGCTTCTGTAGTGCACAGGAGTTTTAATTTTCTTCTCTTTCAGTGGTTTTTGATCTTCTGTATAGATGATTGGTACCCACCCATGCCTGGGTGGGGTGTGTATATATGTGGATGGTGCGGGGTTAGTAGAGAAATAGGGGGAAGGGGGTGGGTAAAGGGGTTTTGCATTATTTTTTTAATTATTAATGTTGTTGATTACTTTTGAACAAGCCCCTAACATGCTGTGCTGCAGTCCCTCACCCACACTACAGCTGGTCACACATCCCAGCCTGGCTCATGCAGATCTGTGAGCACCAGGAAAGCAGCTGTGTGAACTCCTTCACTGCAAGAACTGCTGGGTTTAATAAAAAAAACCAACCCATTCTTTCACTTTTTTTTTTTTTTTTAATCAACATACCTTAAAGGGGTTTGCAGAGAATTTGTAGATCTGCTGCTGAAACTGGTTGAAAGATTCCTTCAGTGCATGAGGAACCATGCCAGCAGGGGCTTGGGTGATGCTTTCATCTTGGGGAGCACCCAGGGATGGTCTGAGTTCAGGCATGGGTTGAATTTTGGGAAGGCTAGGCACTGTTTGAGGTGCTGTGCTGGTACTTCATCTCCCCTTTCTTCTTTTTTTAGATGGAAGTGGAGGTATTGGGAGGAGTTTGAATCCCCAGGCTTAGATGCATTTTGTAGACACACAGGTCTCATGGTGGTGGCCAGAGGTCTGGCTGGGTTGCAGGAGTCCCTGTCTGACTGCAAAGAGCCAGAAGAAGGGACAGTTTTGTCTGTGTTTTTTTTTTAATTTTATATGTACATGCACGCACTTGTGTGTGTATATGTGTATACTTAGAAACTGCTTGGTTTTTGCACTTTATTTGTGGCAGAAGCATAACTACTTTATTTTTTTCCTAGTTGTGCCCCTTAACAGGGGAAGCCTGAATACAGGCAACTTTTTCTGTTTGTTTTTAATTGTATTTTGCATGCTGGAAAGCTGGGACTACAAAATAATAGTAGTTACAGTGTTTGAGGTGGTAGGGGGAATGGGGTGAGGACCTGACTGACTCCATCAAAGCACTCCTAGTGCTTTGATCCATAAGATCCCTTGTTGGCAGCCTGTCCTGGGCTGGGAGACAGCAGTTAAAAATGGCAATTAACCACTATTGCTTTGTGCAAAAGTCTGTGGATTTTGGAATTTTTTTTTTTTTTAGGGTTTTGGGTTGGTTTTTTTTTTCCCCATCTATGTGTAGCATCTTCTCCATGCCCATCTCATGTTTTTTTTTGCTGGAGGCAGGAGGTGAAGGTAGCCACCCCTCCTGCAGCACTAGGCTGGGGAACTAGGGGTGGGCAACCCTTTGGATTCATCCTTCCCATGGCTTTCCTGTGCAGGGAATACCATCCCCAGAGACGGAATCAGAGAGCTTTGGTGGAGAAACGATTTTTCTGTGAGCGTGCACACGTTTTGGGGGTGGGTTTGGTCTGTTTTTTTTTTCCCTTTGGGAAAAGGTGAACCACAGTGCCTCGCGCTCCGGCCTCGCGCTCGGAGCGGCACCGACGGCGGGAGGGCTCCGGGGCCACGCTCAGCCCGTGTGCCACGGGGGTGACAGTCCTGGCAGTGCCCTGCCTGGTGAGCTTGTGCATATGTGTATCATATTCCTGTACAGATAAAACAAAGAGCACTCCCCCCCTGCCCTCTGCTTGATTTCTGTTTTAATATCCTCATTAAAAGCCGACTTCTCCCTTTGCGCCCTGGGCGGCAGCTGCGCTTTCGGTTTCTCTGCCTTTCAGATAAATGAATGTTTTGGGGAGGCAGCTCACTTGGCTCTTTTCGACTTCCTCCTTCGCGGGGAGTTTTTATCTCTCTCCTGCTGCTGCTGCTGCAAAAAGATAAGCCAGCGAATACAAACATGACGTCTGGCTGCCCCCGAGATCAAACCTGTACACGTGTAATTGCGCGGATGTTTTGGTGTGTATTTGTGTGTGTAAATATATAAATATATATATATATAAAAAAGGAAAAAAAAAAAAACCAAAATGGCCCTAAACTTTCGTCCTTTAGTAATAATAGATGTCTCAGTAGGTCGATGTAAACCTGAAATTTGAAGGTGGTGGTTTTTTCCAGCACTGGGAAAACCACTCACTTGGGTTCCTCTTTTGCTGGAGGGGTTGGTGTGATGGTGTCAACCCTGTGCCATCACAACTGCCCTAAAAAACTTGCTGGCCATCATTTTGGTTAACAGAGCCAAGGCAAATTGGCAGAGAGGACATGTCAAACCACACCAATGATTTCTTCCCCCAATTTTTTTTTTCTTCTCTGGTTTTCCTTTGTGATACTTGAATTTATTTTTTTTAATTTTTTTTTTTTTAATAGCAAAGCACTCTTTATTTATTTAATGTATACTGCAAAGCTTGGAGAGAAGGGTGTAGTTATTTGGGATTCCTTTTTTTCTGATTTGTGGTATGTTAACTGTTCTGTATATACGTCTGGAATAATTGCCTGATCTAAAGCTGTGCCAGCTTAAAAACAGGGTATGCCTTTCAGAAATTTGTATATTTTGCAGATGCTGGACCAATAAAATATCTTGTTGAAATACAGATGTGATCTGGTTCTTTCTTATGTCAGAAATCATGCTCTCAGGCCCTCAGGGTTACCATGTGCCACCCTGTGCTGCCTCACATGTATTCCTGTGCCTCATAAATAAAAATTCTCATAAAAGAGAGACTGTGGATGCTTTGTGCCTGGAAGTGTTCAAAGCTAAGTTGAAGGGGGCTTGGAGCACCCTGGTCTAGTGGAAGGTGTTTTTCAAACCATTCTATTAACTCTACAAGTGTTAACACCTACTTAGGACAAGCAAATGCCCTCTAAGCTGTACATGCTCCATCACTCTTGGGTAGAAAAGTGATGCACGGGGACTTGTCCTACCTAAATCTAGGGTGCAGATTAGGCAGGACTCTAGGCATTTATTCAAACCTAGTCTAGTTCTTGAAATTAAATACCTGGGTGAAGGGCTGGACAAGAGCTGTCCCCTGAGATAAGGTCTCTGTGCCCTGAAGGCAGGAAAACAGCAGCTGCCACCTGCAATTTAAGTTCCCCGTAAACCTGTGTGTGGTTTTTTATTAATTAATTTAATATTAATTTATTGTTCCAGAGAAAAAGTAGGAGAAGGCAGAGCAAGGTGTAATTTGACATGGTATTTGGGAGCACACCTCGGGTGGATGCCTCTTCTGTGATTAGAGGCTCATCCCACTATGGGAGTTGTATCTCTAAAAGCTTGTGGGGAGCTAAAGGGTGCAGGGTGCTGTGCATCCCAGCTCAGCTCCGTGGTTTGGCTCCTGCTGGTGATGTGCAGCCCTTGCTCTGCTCTCCCCTGGGCTGGCAGAGCCTGTCAGGACTTGCTTTGGGCCAGAGCTTTTTGGGGTGCACAGGGATCATCTCCCTTCTCCCAACTGCTCTGTGCTCCAGGCCCTCTTATCAAGGAGGGTGTTCTCTCATTTCAAATGTGATTGAGGCACCTGCAATAATATTTTCTAGGTGGACATGCTGAGGGGTGGGATTTTGGCCATGCTCATCCCTGCGTGCATCCCAAGAACAGGGAGCACCCCAGGAAATTCAGCAGCCACTAGATTTAATTTTTGTTTTAGCCTTTTTTTTTTTTTTTTAATCTCTAGCAACCTGGCTGTCTCCTTGAACTGTGCAGAGACAAAACACTTGTTTTAGGGCAATGAACGCAGCCTTGCACTGCCTCACAGGGAGCCCTGCAGGGGCTCTGATAACACCTCCAGCCGGGGTGGGCTGAGGTCTCACGAAGCCACAACATCAGTGCAGCTCCCCTGTCCTCCCCAGGGGCTCTTTGGAACCCGTGATAAAACCTTGTCCTTGTGGGAAGAGCACGGGGGAAGGTTTTGCCTCCCTGAGAATGGCTTTGGGCAGCATTTCCAAGGCTGCTCTGTAAGAAAATCCTCCCCCCCCACTCCAAAAATCTCTTTTCCATGTGCACGATGGGGCTTGTGTCACACCACCCCTAAGTCAGGGAGGGGAATCAGTGCCAATGCCATCCCAGGCAGCAGCATCCTTTCTTCCATGTGATGCATCCAGTAGCATCATCCCAGAGAGGAGAAGCTCCTCGAGGCAGTGCAGCTTTAAAGGTTATACTCGACAGCAGGAACATTTCCCTGCTCCCAGTCAAGTCCCATTTTTATTAAAAAAAAAAAAAAAAGGAATAAACCCCCAGCTCTGGCAAGTAAGGCGAGAGAACTTGTGATGGCTAAAAAAAAAAAAATAAAAAGGGCAGACCAGTCACGCTGGCTGACTCAGCTCTGATTGATGGCTCAGGAATGTGTCTGGGATTAACTAAACCACGGGCAAACCTTTGCAATGCAACACATTGGATGAAGCACAGCCGGCACCTGCCTCCGGCTGGGGAGAGGCTGCCCTCACGTCATGGGATTGCAGGGGGTTTTTCTTCTTTTTTTATCCATCTGTGAGAAAAAAAGATAAAAATTAACGGCATTTAGGGTAATTGCTTTGCAAGGGGCTCTAGTAGGAATTATTTGAAATATTTCCAGGTCTAGATGTACTTGTGCAGTTTTGCTGCAACCAAGACATCCTGGGAAGGAATATATTTATGCTGAGATATGGCATAAATCATCTCACTTTCTTCTTTTTTTGTGGAGGTATTGGGAAGGGTTTGAATCCACAACTTAGATGCATTCTGTAGACACACAGGTCTCATGGAGGTGGCCAGAGGTCTGGCTGGGTTCTAGCTCTGTGTAATTCAGAGCCTCGCTGCTCCATGCCTAAACTCTGCCAAATGTCAGGGTCCCTTCCCTATCCCCAGGGGAGCCCCTGTTGCATTCATAGTTAATGGAAAACTGTGTGGATGTGAATATTTTTCCCTCACATTTCCCTTGTCTGTGTGTCCAGCTGTGTCCTCTTTGAGGCTGAGTGGTGTGGCGAGTAGAAAAAGTGTATCAAAATTGAATTTATTTGTCAGCAATACTGGAAGACACTACATCGTGTGGATGGATGGAGGAGTAGTGGTAAGAGTCATCACCCAAAGCATTGACATAATCCCATAAACCTGATCTAGCTGAAGGTGTTCCTGCTCATAGCAGGGGGGTTGGACAAGATAACCTTTAAATGTCCCTTCCAAACCACACCATCCTATGATTCTATTCTGGGAAATTAATTTTCAGTGCCTACATCAAGGTTGGCTTCATCTCTCATGCTCCCCCTGGAAGTGCCCTGCTCTGTGGTTCACCCCCAGGAGCTGTGTCTGCTCTGGGGAGGACATGGGTGTACCCAGCAGCTCCAGCTCAGCTGATGGTGGGCTAAATGCCTTGGGAGGTCTTCTCAGGATGTTATCTCCCACAATCCTAAGGAAAATCTAATTTACACTGTGACAGCTGTTACTGAGTCTGGTGAGCTTCAGGGCAAGCCAGATAAAACCCAGCTGATGCATCTCTCCACCCAGCTTCCTGCACAGGGAGAAAGATATTTTTCTTGCTGATCTAAGATTCAGATCTAACATGGTCTGAAGGGACAACATTCAGGATCCCCCAGGCTTTATGAATTGCTTCTCCCTCTAGTAGCAGATGCAGACTCTGATACTGCACCCACTCCTGGCCAGACACCAGCAAACATTATTTGATCTTTACTTTAAGAGGTATCTGAGTGCTCTTTGTTCTGATTTGATGTTGGTGGCTCAGGGAAGAAGTTAGAGAAGTGGGTGGCAGCAGAGGTTGTGACCAAAAAATGCAGCTGAATTAGAGCTACAAAGAGAAACAGTAATTAAGACCTAACGAATAATTACCACGGGGGAGGACAGCACAAGACTGAGCGCAGCCCCAAATCCAGACATTTCTAGCTGTAGCTCAAACCCCACAATTAAGCTGTGATTTTGGTCATTATGAGGAGGTATTTCCAGAGCTGGGTCTTGCCCTTCGCTGCCTTCATCCACCCAAATGACTGCCTGAGCATCAGCAGAAAGAAAACCCAGCATTTTGATAAATGTCATCCAAACCAGACTGGAGAGCCTGTGTTGGATGCCTCCACCAAAGCTGGGTGCCAACCTGTGGGCAGAGCTGGAGATGAGGAGAGGAGAATGCTTGCTGGCTAGCAGGGGATGTGTTGGTTTAGAGGTTGGTGGCACCTAAAAATACCAATGTCCTCCCTTGTGAGTGTCACCATGCAAATGTCACCTTGCATTTCTCTGGTTCTTGGTCCATCTCTACCTTCTCATCACCCCAGGGCACTGATCCTTCAGTGGCAGAGGGGGACAGGAGGCTGTGGCTCTCACACAGGTACCTGGTCACCCCACACATCTGTGCTGCAGGCACGCTGTCCTTGGGTGTCCCCTTGGGTGTCACCTGCATGTCAGGGCGATGGCACCAGTGCTCATGGCTGGTTTCCCTCCTGCCTCTCCCACTGGTGCTGCTGCAGGGACTGTGACCTACCCTGGCAGTCCAGGGCTGCTCTTCTCCCTTTCAGACAGCGTTAATGTCACTCTCTCCCCTCAGCGACACCACAGTGGTGCCCTGACTCACTCACTGCTCCTGCCAGCCTTGGCTCACCTGTGACAGCTTCAGATGTGCTCTCCTGCCACACATGCACCTCATTCTCTCTGCCTGCCTCATGCTTCAGCATTATTTTGCTATTTCGTCCCAGTCTTTCCTTTGGGCACTTTCTCAGTGATGTTTTCACACCATCATTGGTGTGGATGAGCCCACCTTTTTGAAGTCACCTGGCACTTGGGAGGTTATTATCTGGCTATAAATTACCCAGCAAGGACTGGCTGCTGTATAAGCAAGGTACAAGAAAATAATAAAAAATTGATATGAATCATAATTAATATGTAATAATGACTGGGATGCCTTTCCAGACTTGTTAATTGGTTTATGGTAAATATTTCTGAGCATGGCCAATGCACAAAGACTGATTTAAGCCTCTTTTTTGGCATAATTTTGCCCATGATGGGGTCTGTTGCAGAGGGGAAAGAAGTCCACCTGCATCCCTTAAATAAAATCACTTGCAGGAGTCAGCAAACCCTGGAGAGAGATGGGACTGGGAAGAAAATGAATTAAGCCAGAAAAATTGTAATAAAGGGTTTGAAGAACTCATGGTTACAGCTGGCTGAAAACCAAGGATCTCGGTTCACCAGAGATCTTCTTTTTAACATGCAAATATAAAAATACCTTCCTGTCCAAATGGGATGGAAACTGATATTTTTCAAAATTTCTGAAGCTCTTCTTGACCTCATGAACTGGCATATCATTTTCCCTGTTTTGCTGAAGATATTTTTAAAGAAGTGTTGGCCTTTTTTGGAAAAAAAAAAAAATATTCCCTTGTTGGAAATCACTGCGCTGGAGAAATGCTGGGGGAAGAAGAACCATTGATGGGACAATGGGAGTGACCTTTTTCATTAAAGATGAAATGAGGTTTTCACTGCCCTTGTCTTGCACAGGGCTGGACACCCACCTTGGCCACACCCAGGCACCTCCTGGAAGACCCAGCAGAGAGGAGCAACCTCAGGAATGCAGATGTGACTCACTGCCATCCCTGGAAATGCTCTCAGCAGCCCTGTCAGCAGTGTCCC